TGTCAGCAGCACCCAGAGAAGGGGAGGGAGCCCCCAGCTCTCTTGGCTCAGGGCTGGACTGGGCTGGGGACAAGGCCACACAGTGGAAGCTTTCCCTCCCTGCCATGACAGCTGGCGTGGCTCCCATCTCCAGCTCCTCTCTGCCCCTGTTAGTGGAGGCCAGGTGGTGGGGGAGCAGAGGCCCCTGCCACATGGGCCTGGCCCTAGCTCCCCCAGACCTGAGCTAGTACAGCTCCAATTCCCTGGCCCTGGTGCCACTGCCCAGCTTGGCTGACAACTGCATGGCTCTGAATCGGAAATTTAATAGACTGGTATAACCTAAAATGACTAAGTCTGATACCACATCAATCAAGGTCTGTTTTAGACTAGGGTGTTCCATTTTTAAACCAGTCTATGTGCCTTGAACTTCTGTACAATTATGGGTATAGACTGGTTTCCAATAATCTATATCATTTTATGTGTAAAGCCTGCACTTGGCCTATATATCAGCATCTGTGTCTAACAAACTATCATCTTTGAACTGTAACAGGAGCTGCAAGAGACAGACATGTCAAGATCTACAGTTTTCGTAGTTCTAAAGTTTAATCTTGAAATTGATGGAAACAAAGCTAGGATTGGACAAACATCTGTTGAATTTTAATAAAGATATCAGAACTCACTGGGAATAAAAAAGAAATGTCCATGGCTTAAAAAACAAGAATTTCACTTGCATTGTGTACTGTTTTATGAATGTCTATCCCAGGTCTAGAAGTGAACTGTTTGCATGTGAGGAGACATCATCCCACTTACACGTGACATAAAGGTGCATTTTAGTTCAAACATTACATGCAATTCAAGTTAAGATCCAAGTTCTTCAGAGCCTATATGAAAAAAGTGTTGAGACATCCACATCTCCTGACATGTACTATTTGGTTACAAGCACCAAATGGAGAGTTAGATGAGTATGTGTGGGCTGAGTGAACTCCTATAAACACATACACATGTAACATTGATTGGAAGCCCCCAAAATTTAAATGATGGTTAGTATCAGACATATACTTGTTAACAAAGCAATGGAAAAGAATAATAAGCTAAATCAGTTAACTTCACTATTTGTGCTTAATCATAATAGAACAGTAAAATCACGATACATGGCATAACTTGTACTATAATTCAACACTTGTACTTATAATTCAACAGCAAATTATCTACACATATAGAAAAAGGGTGATTATGCTTGAGTATTAGAAAGCTGGTTTCACTGTGTATCATGGAACTAATGGACACATACCAATTCATAAAATTCTATGCTACAACTCAATGACCAAGCAGATGGGAGATTTTTTCATTTACCAAGGTCTGCTTGGTAACAGGGTGAGAAAGATTTTACAGTCCCTCATTCTCAAACAGCTGATGCAGATGCAATTAATTTATGCCAACTAATTAAGGGACTACGTGCTTTTTGAAACTTGTTGGATTACAGCTGAACTTTGCATCACACTGGACATGTCTACATGTGCATTTGGAAGTACTAGATGCTGGCGCAGTAAAATCTGCTGTGTCATTTTTAGCTGCTACCTCATCATAGCAATGCACTATAATGAGGGAGCACATTCCTACAGTGATGCAGCTATGACATCACACTTCTTGCCGGCAGACCCTACATCACCGTAACACATTGCTCCGGTGACATAGAGTCATGTGTAGACATGCCCACTGTGCATTAAGTTTAGTACCTATAATAGCAGCGACGCTTGCCTTTTTATGATGTTAATAGGCAGTAGACTAATTCTACTGTGCATTAATGCATAGTACAGCTTTTGCCATGCTAATGCACAGTAGCTATAGTCTACTGTGTGTTTAGTGCTTCATATAGATGTGCCCTCTGTTCCCTAAAATATCCCCTTTTTTGTCTGGCATGCCCCTATGCTGGGATGACAGTGGGGAGACTGATGTGGAACTGCTTATCCTAAGAACTCCAACATCCTGGGACCTAAGGCCATTGTCAGCTGATCAGCCACAGTCAGATTCTAGCTTGCTTGCATGACCCTGGCATCATAACAGAGGGAAAGGATCTGGCCCAGTGTGGGTAGTCATCCACATTTTGGCATGCTGGTAGCTTATCTGTTTGAACAAATGTTGTGTCAACAGAAGCTGCAAGTGATCTGCATAGTGAGTATGGTCCAGTTCACTCCAGTTCTACAAAGGACGCAAATTGATTACTATTCCACCAATTGAAGCATAGTAAATCTCTCTGTGTTATCTAAAACTAGGAAAATGTTTTAAGTATAATAAGTGAACCCTAATTTGTATGAAAAGATGTCATGTATTTCAAGGGATCTCCACTGTCAGGTTTGTGTCCATTCTAGCTGCAAACCATTGACTTTGTAGACTAACAAAAACCACTAATGTACCAGGCACTAGTATCTTTTCAATCCCTGTTTGCATCTTTTCTGTTCTTAAAATTGCCATATAAGCATAGAGAAACGTTGTTAATGATATTATATACAGTAAAATGCCTGTTATCCAGCATTTGAGTAACCAGAACACGCTATAAACTGGAATGTCTGGCTGGCTGGCCAGACATGGATGGGGTGGGACAGGGAAGAGGGAAGCTTGCATGTGGCAGCCGCTGCTGCCACCCACCACCCTGTGCTGTAGCCTCTCCATGTACGGCCGCCACCACCCTTCCCCCCTGCCGCTCTGTGTCTGGCCAAACCCTGCCGGCCTCTAGTAATCAGCATTTTTAAATATCCACCACGTCCCATTCCCCACTCGTGCCAGATAACAAGAATTTTACTGCACTAAAGTAGGAAATGCTTTTACTAAAAATCATGATTTTGCCTGTTCCATTAGTACATGCTTCCATCATTAAATTTAATGCTTAAATTAGGTACATTTAATCTAGGTAGACCTAGGGCTGGGACAAACTAGAAAACATGACATATCAGAACTAAGATTCATGACTTTACCACATTGTTTGGATGTGATATTTTACATTGAAATGGAAATCTGATATTTGACATCAAACATACTTATTGTATAAGTAGCGTTCATATAACCATACCAACAGGAGATCTGGGGTAGGTATATAAAACAGGATTGTCCCAGCAAAGACTGGACCCTAATGGTCACCAAAACCTATGAGAAAGCATGTTGTTCTGAAAATAGTTTTATCTAAAGGAAGTCCTCCAGATCCACCATTCTCATAGCCCATTTCCCACTTCTCTTATTACAGTTAGAAAATAGTTTGATAAAAGTTTTTCTATGTAAGCATTAAGTCCTTGTGCAGGGATCTAAAAGTGAAATGATAAAGATGGACTGAACTATCATCTCATTATTCTGTTTCAACAACTGACCTGTTTGAAGACACTTGAATTATTCACACATACATTGTAACTGTTTTCCTATTGAAAATGTAATCCAAGTACATAATGTTTCCCCATGCTTGAAGAAATAAAATATTAATGAATTATTGCAATGTCAAGATACGCTGAAACTGGATAGAAGTAAGATAGAACTAGTCTTCTGAACAATATGAAAAATTAAAAAGCCAAAATTACACATAATTCTGTTTTTCCTTCTGTAACTCTTTCAACTTCTTCATCTTATCATTAAACTGCACTATACAGTCTTATTCCAATTAATATATATGGTGTTTCTATCTGGCATCCTCTAATAATCCTCATAATTGAAACTAGAAATTCTCTGTTTTGTGGATAGGATGCAAACATGGATTGTGGCTTTTTCCTGCTATGTTCCAAACCTAATGTACCAGGACCAACTGCTGATGGTAGGAAGGTAAGTGTTTCTTTTTGTCCTTTAACAGCAGTTCTCTTGAGAGAGCAAGGAACATTTGCAAGGAACATGTTTTTAATTTTCATTTGCTACAAATTAGCCATCACACCATAATTCAGTCATGAGAAGTCTAGCTACAATTTAATTTAACAACCTAGAAATTTAAGTTTCTGCATTCCATAATGATTACTTGATCTATTTAATCCCTATCTTACTGATTTCTATAAAATTCTGTATGCTGCAACCTTGATAAACTATTGTATCATCTATTTTTCTTCTTGATTTACTCCAACTTGGTCTTTATCCTTAATATAGCCATATACTTTCCTCTTTGTCCTGGCTAGTGACCACATTTATATATCACACATTATCTACCTGGCTACTAAGCACCCTTTCTCTTGATCTTTCTTTTCGGTCGTTGAGTTCAGTTTACCAGAAAGTTTCTATGAGTGAAATCATCACTCCCTCTGTGGTCACTTTATGACTGAGATATTGTAAAGAGGCCCTTAAAAATGCTGGATCTCAACAGAGAGTGTTCCTCTGAACACTCTTGTCTGTCACTATAGTGACAGAAGCCAACTATAACCAAAGGGCAATCTTACAAGCTCTGGTACAGAGGAAGTATCAGGAGTGGGGTCTCAATTTACAATACTGTGAATATTTTGGGCAGTACCTCAGACTGCAGGTAGAAAGGGATAGGATGTTCTAACTCAAACAAGGCCCTTAGGCAGATTCTATACAGTTCAGCAAACCCTAAATTAGGAGTGTGCTGTGGAGATTTAAAGCCAATGTAACTCCCAACCCTTCCCTGAAGCAGTAATTTGTGGTGTACCTCCATTTGCGTGGAATCACAGCAATCATTAATATGGACTTGTACCAATGCTAAATTTCACCTATTCTCTTTAACACTGACATATCCATAATATATTTCTCATTTCAAAGCACAGTAATACTAAGCAAACCACAATTACTTTCAAAATGGTATTGTCTTAAAAATATATATTTTTAGGCAAGTGTGCAGCAAGTATTAACAACAGAACATCTGCATAATATAGAACTTATCAAATCTGTAAGGAGAAATATTAGCATTCAAAAGTTTCTTTAAAATGCAGTATGAATATTTGTCAACATAAATGATGCTTATGAAATGTATCCAGAAAGATAAGTGCAGAAGTAGTGGCAAGTATGCAAGAAACAGTAAGAATGAAACTAATCCTACTTACCAAACTCCTTGGGAACAGCAATAGAGTAAACACAGTTGTGACCAACACTATAGTTTTTGGGGTAGTTTGGTGATAACACTGTTCCTTCAGAGCCTGTTGACCGACTCCCACATGGTGCTAGAAAGAAAATATGTACAGTATTTAATTATATAATATTCAGAAGGTGATAAGTCCGATGTAAGTTGCTGTATTTTGTTATAAGCCACTGCAGTTATGAGTAACTTTTACATTAGATTTAATGCATGTATTATCTGAATAATGAGCATGGAGGACAGTGCAATTTCCCAGAAAAAAAACAGGATACTTCTGTATAATTTATCAATTATGTTAATAAAACAATAGGCTGTATATATCAAATGCCAGTATTCTTTTGAGAGAATACTATTATTTATTTCTCATATATGAGAATCCACTATATAGTGGTGGGGTGAATGCCGAAGACTTACTCATGGCAATAGTTTCACAACTCAAAGGAAAAAAGGATAGGTAGGAATAAGGATGAGACATCTTGACATGCCTGAGAACTCCTTTTTTTTTTATATCAGCTGAGAATTTGTTCCTTTCTCCCAACAACGTCTTCCAAATAACAATATTAATATTTAAGTAATCAAAAAAAGCCAATCAACTAACATTTGCAGTAACAACGGGCATGAATAAGGTTAGAAGGCAGAGTGCATATGCACATGTGTAGACTAACTAAATCAGACATAAATAGACCACAAGCTTTTGTAAGCCAAAGCTATTGTAAAGGATACACAGAAAGCAAAATATAACAAGGAGAGAGAATTTAGAATACACAAGACAAAGGTGGGGGCTGGGAGAGAGAGAAAGAGAGAGAGATAGGAAGGAGGGAGTCAGTGCTAGGAGAGTAAAACACATGTGCAGTAAACCCATAGGAACAAAAGGGGTCACAAAAGCTCATCCAGGTAATGAGATAATAATCCATAGTCTATGTTGAAACCATACTTAGAACAGTACAGTTTGTGGATGAATTCTTGTTCCACAGTTTCCTGTTCATTATTAAGGCTAGTAATACATTTTTCATTCATTATCATTCATATTTTCAAGCCAGAAATAAGTCTTTCCTCTTCCAGTGCCACAAAATAGATTTTCAGAGGCATTTATATAAAATTTGCTACGTAGTTGCCAAAACTTTCCTACATAGATTTCAAGTGGTGTGTTCTTTTTTTAAGTCACGCTTCTCATAAATTCACTAATCTAAAAATTCATCTGCTGCCAAGACTCTGACATCACTCATAATTATTTCTTGTAACTATTTTTTATGATTACAAAATCAATTTTAGACTACATTAAATGGAAGTGTAGCGATAAAAGACTAATCAGATACATCTTTTCTTTAAAAGAGACTTAAATAACTTTGCAAAGCACAAATGGCTTGCCTTGTTAAAGTAGTTTACCTAACATAGCGAAATACTATATTTATTTTCATGCCTAGGGAATAGTTTGAACCTCCTTCTGTATCTTAAATCAAGCAAACTGAGTGGCTGTGACACAGATGATTACATGGTCAGGAGGGTGGCAAATTGGCTTAAGGGTCACACCCAGAGAGTGGTGGTGGATGGGTCGGTATTGACTTGGAAAGATGTGGGCAGTGAGGTCCTTGGACCTGTGCTATTCACACACCTTCCCACCCCTGGAGCACATGTAAAAGTGCCTTATGTTTCCTGGAGTCCATTTGCAGTTGTTCTTAAAGTTCAGTAGGACTTTTCTATTTAGAGTAAATCACGTTAGCCTAGGTATATATCAGTCTTATGGCTGCCCTTTGTATCCCCCTGCTTTATAAATATATCTTCTTCTATGTAAAACATTGACTCTAGCTTTCATCATTATTGGATTAAATTATGAAACATTTACTTAAGCTCTGATTCAAGTGGATCATCTCAATACTTAAGTTCACTACCAAGGGCCTTAGTTAACTGAGTTGAAAAGGAGCAAGTCATTGTCTCTGATATGAGTACTGGCTCCATTGATTTTAACTTTCACAGAGCACCTAGGTAAAAAAACACTCAACCATAGCTGTGAGAACACAAATAAGTTAAGGAAGAACAAAAAGAGTTAATTTTTGCTTCTGGTATTTTAGTAAAATAAAAATGTCACAGACAAATACACCATGAATAACATAGTGACTCCACTTAAGTGGACATGAGACTGAAAAATGGTTTTCTGTGATTGAAGCACAATTTTTTTAATTGAAGACTTAATGAGTGATGACAGAGATGACTGGAGGCAGATTAAAAAAAAAATCAACACGCAACTATTCTTTGTACTAAGACATCACTGACCTAGTAGCCTCATTAGAGCCCTATTATGCTGGATGATACACAAACATAAAAAATAATTCCTTATTCCCAAGGTACAACCTTAGGTCAGGAACCTATAAAGACTTACAACAGCTTTAAATACTCCAGTATTGCCACTGTCTTTTATAGCAATACATAAATGTATAAAATTATGTCCAAGCTTAAAACTGTATAGAATTTGAACCTAAACAGGGATGAGAACTGGGTTGGATGGAAAGCAAAACATAAGGAAGTAGAAAAGGCAAGGGGCAAGAATGACAGGAGTACTGGGAAAACAAGGTTGATTCTGAGCAATACACTTTATTTCCTTTTTTTTCCTCTTCTCCTTCGATGAGCTGGGTAAATGAAGGACTGTAACAAATTGGTGATAATGATTTCCTAATAGAGTGCCAGCCTCATTATTGTTGTTTACTAATTGACTGGTGTGGATTTGAGAAAAAACTCAAGGTAAATATCTGACCCCTCTGAAGTCAATGTCACTGACTTAAATGAAGTCACAAGTTCACTCCTGGGTTTTTTTGTTTTGTTTTGTTTTTTACAGTTTGTGAAGGAACAGAGCTTATAAAATCATTTCCCCATTTCTTTTACAGACATTTGTAATATGCATATATTATATTACAGATCTATATGTACACACACATATATACATACACATAATTCCTTGTAAGACTTAGGCTAGGGACAGAAATTACACATAAACTGATATAAGTGATTGGAAAGTGACTCAGATCTATAACACAACAGAAGTTCAATGGACATAAACAACTTTCAAAATGGCCAGTACTGGTTTAAGACAAACCTGGATGGATGTAGTATCAGACTTAACTGATTTAGGTTAAATCAGTTTATTGAACTTCTGTCCCAGATCCCCTCTAGATTCAAGTTAACTCACAGTCCCCCAGCATCAAAGCATGCTTTGCACCTTCCCTACAACCTCCTGCCCCCAACTGGGTGGGCAGACTAGCCTTGGCACAAATTGCCTTCTCCAGCTTCCCCAGCCAAGCAAGGAGGTGTGATTTAGTGACTTGCTCTCTGGTTTCTGGCCTGGGCAACTGCAGACATGTGGCTGCATTTCTGGAATCAAAAGCAAATGTCTGTTCACTTGCTTATCAGTTCAATCTTTGAAGCTTAGACTAACCTGTGAAGACTGAATCAATTCAGCCTTGGGCTTTTTGACTGTCTATACTTAGCCTTAAGGTGTAACTGTTACCTGCTATGCAACCAAAGGCCTCATAAGTGTCCTGTTTGGCATTTCCACACATTTTTTAATTCTATTTCCCTTGCAGTATAGATGAATAAACATATGTAAATACACTGAGCATGGACAGCGTGTGGAGTGTGAACCAGTGTTTGTGGAACCAGATTCAGGGTTAGGCAACTTAGTATATGCCACCTAAATGTGAGTTGGTGTCCCATGCATGTAAGCATCTGCTGCTTGGCAGGAGGAGCCTAGGCAGCTGGAGGTAAGTAAGTTGGAGGGGAGGGGCTAAAAAAAATGGGTCTACTGGTGGGTTTAAGGAGAGTTAATAGGTCCAGGTGGGGCTGGTGGGCCTGGGAAGGGAGGTTTGGTAGGTCCATGGGGAAACATAGCCTGAACAGGGTGGTGGGGGAGGGCAAGTTAAACCAGCACAGCCCTAGGGCTTTCCCAGACATGGAGTTGTTCTGTGAACAAGTGTAAGTATTCACTAGGTTGGATTAACCCTTGTAAGATTAGGTTAACCCTTCACAATCTAAAGTTAGTTCCCCTCTGAGGTGAACTGACTTTAGATAAGGAGCACCATTTTTAGGGTAATCTAAGCCCTGCAGATGCTTGCACCATTTTTAGGGTAATCTAAGCCCTGCAGATGCTTGCACACTGGAGCATTTAGATTGCCATAACCTTGGTTCCTGGATTGATAAACTAGTGGCTTCACTTTCCTTTGGCACCAGCAGAAAGAGAGTTGAGAGAATAGAAGATGCAACCTATCTGTTTTTTGTTCTGGTGTTTCTGCACACAGTAAACCCCTAAAACAGGGAGGACTGTAAGAATGATAACCCAAGTCTAAAGCCATGGTTTATGCCTGGTTATGGCATGATGATAAGTGATGTCAGAATTTTTAGATAAATTATTTCTGAGCTTCTAACAAGCTCTACAACTGTAACTGGAGATTTTGATATAGGATGGAGACATGTTCATGAAAACAAAAACAAAAAAATTACTATGATCCAACATGATTATAATATCAAATTTAAAATCCGCTTCAGAACATGGAGATGTTCAAGTTTACCAGTGAGTTGCTGGAGGAATTTAACATTGCCAAAATAACACGTTCTTCTTTAAACATAGTTTTGGAAAATTTTAAAGATGCTCAGTTCTTCCCACTTCTCCCCCTGATCCACCCTTCTCAACAACCACACCAGAGAACAAGACCCTGCCTAAAAAGCATATGCAAAAACCACCAATGCATTTCGTCTGTCATCACGTTTCACAACAAAAGCTCAAGGACCAGAGGATCCTACGCAGGCTGATCACAGAATGTGATACACCTTAGTCAATGTACCAGTTGCCTGTAGAAAAATTATACGGGTGAAATTAAATAACCACTACATTCTGAAATGAACTCTCAAAGAAAAAATGACAAAGGAGTTGCTGATATGCAGCTGTTGCTCTCACAAGCTGTTGCTGCAAACAAGCATGCACTATATTTTTGTTTTTAAATATGCAATTTCATGCCTTATTTGCTGAAGACAATATATTTACTGTTCATGATACTCATAATATGCTTTGTAGTCCATCAGTGAGTTTATTTTTCCAAT